AAGGAGAGGATAGATTTGTGTCTTCACATCGGGCCAAGACTCTATCCAATTTCCAAGACACCTCTTCAAATGAATCAACCAACCACACTAAAATCAATCCATAAAGACCTTCCAAAATGTCTTTCTCCACCATGTCGGTGAAAATAGCCCATCAGTTGCATCGTTGGAAGGTCGCCGGAGCATTGCACAACCCAAACGGATCCGAGAAAAAGCAAATGTACCTATAATGGGCAGGTGAAATGTGTTTTCTCTTGGTCTTCGGAGCAATTAAGATTGATATAACCCGATATCCATCAAAAAGCAATAAAAGGCTCGCTCCCCGCAAGGCGTCAAGCATTTGGTTAAGGAATAGCAAAGGGGAAATGAATCCTTTCGGGTTCACCTTGTTAAGCTTCGGTAGTCCATGCATACCCGCCATCCGGTAACCCGCCCGAGTGGGAATAAGTTCATTATTGTCATTATTCACCACAGTCATCCCACCTTTCTTCGGCACACATTACACCGGAGAAGTCCATGAGCTATCGGAGATTGGATACACCACACCTGCATCTAGCCACTTGATCACCTCTTTTTTCACCACTTCTTGCATTGCCTCATTGAGCCTCCTTTGATTTTCTAAAGAAGGCCTTGCATCATCCTCCAAAATAATTTTGTGCATGCAAAATGCGGGGCTTATTCCCCGAATATCCGTCAGAGTCCATCCAATTGCCCTTTTTCGCCTTTGAAGCACCGCCAAAGTGGCCTCAACCTGCATGTTAGTAAGGCAAGAAGAAAGAATAACTGGTAAAGTTGAATTAGAGCCCAAGAATTCATACCTGAGGTGTGGAGGAAGTGGCTTCAACTCCAACACCGGTGGCTCCTCAATTGATTGTTTGGTTGGTAGAGTTTTCCGATTTTCAAGATCCAAAACAATTTTCTTGGCTCATAGGAATAAGAGCCCATCCCATGTAGAGCATTGACACACTCCACTCTGCTTGCATCATCATTGACATCACGATTTAATAGCACGGCCTCAAGGGGATCCTCCACGTTAATCATAGAATTTGTGTCATCCACTATCACAGCTGTGACAATGTCAACAAATGAGCACACCTCGGTGCTATTAGGTTGCTTCATGGATTTGCAGACATGGAAGACGACCTTCTTATCACCCACTCTGAAAGTGAGTTCACCCGCTTCAAAATCAACCAATGCTTTCCCCGTTGCAAGGAAAGGTCTCCCTAGAATAATTGGGACCTCATAGTCCACCTCACAATCCAAAATCACAAAGTCCGCCGGCAGGATAAATTTGTCCACCCGGACAAGCACATCGTCAACTATGCCCAAAGGTCGCTTCATTGATCTATCTGCCATCTGTAATCTCATGAAGTTGGCCTTGGTGGCCCAATAC